CTTTCTTTATGATATTAAAAGATAAAGAAAACAATAGTAAGAATCAAGTCACTGGGATTTACATCCACGAAAAACGGTCCAGATGACTCTATATTGCTGTCAACGTGACCATCAATTACAAAAAGAGGCTTTATCTCTATAGTAAAGTCCCTCAATCAAGATACTCATCCTCTCAGATTTCAATTGATTTGTGTATGTTGAGGAAGCTGTCTTGATGGAATTGCAAAATCGAAATGTTCGTTGTATATCTGTTTGTGTGAAATTATTTTTTGTTCTCCTTCAAACCTTTTCAAAACATCTTTTTTTTCTCTTCCTCTCCGCCCAACGCCCATTCTCTCTCTCCCTTCTTCTCTTTCTCCTTTCGATCACTCACTCTCGCCCTCCCTTCCTCCACAAATCATTCTAATCCTTATTCTCTCTATTTCTCTCGCAATGCCTTCCCCTCAACCCCCCCCATTCCTCCCTCCCTCCCTCTCAACCCCTCATTCCTCCCTCCCTCTCAACCCCTCATTCTCTCCCTCCCTCTCAACCCCCTCATTCCCTCCCTCCCTCTCACCCCTCATCCTCCTTCTCAACCCCCTCATTCCTCCCTCTCAACCCCTCATTCCCCCTCCCTCCCTCTCACCCCCCCCTCTTCTCTCATTCCTCCCTCCCTCTCAAACCCCCTCATTCCCTCCCTCCCCTTCCCTCTCAACCCCCTCATTTCCTCCTTCTCAGCCCCTCATTCCCTCCCTCCTCTCAAACCCCCTCATTCCCTCCTCCCTCCCTCTCACCCCCCCTCATTCTCTCCCTCCCTCCCTCCCTCTCAACCCCCTCATTCCCTCCCTCCTCCCTCTCCTCCCCCTCACCCCCTCCCTCCCTCTCCACCCCCTCATTCCCTCCCTCTCCACCCCCTCATTCCCTCCCTCCCTCGCTCACCGTCTCTCCATCCCTCCACAGTGCGTGCAGGACGACAACTGCAAGCTCCCCGACTGCACCTGCGCCTCCACCCAGGGCCCCTTCGGCGACCTCCCCATCGAGTACACGCCCCAGTTCGTCGTCCTCTCCTTCGACGACGCCATCACGTCACCAACTATCCCTTCTACCTAAACGTCCTGAACTCCTACACGAACCCGAACGGATGCCGCGCCACCATGACGTTCTTCGTGTCGCACCTGTACAACGACTATGCGAAGATGAACGAGCTCCACCGCCTGGGCAGCGAGATCGCCGTTCACTCCGTCACGTAAGCGGGGGTTGGTGCGGGCGGGGGGGGGGGGGGGTCCTTCTTTTTTATAACTCTGTTGATTTCGGTGATAGGAGTTGTCAGTATGTTGGTGATAGTACATGCATAAATGCATAACACACATGCGTGCACGCACGAACACACACACATATACATACATATATATATATATATATATATATATATATATATATATATATATATATATATTATATATATATATATATATATATATATATATTATATATTATATATTATATATATATATATATAATATATATATATATATATATATATATAATATATATTATATATATATACATATACATAATATATATATAATATATATATAATATATATATATATATATATATATATATATATATATATATATATTATATATAATATATATATATATATATATATATATATATATATATATATATATATATATGTATAGTGCCGTGTGGTGGTGAGTATGTGTGTATGTATATATATATATATATATATATAGATATATATATATATAATATATATATATATCATATATAATATATTATATATTATATATATATATATTATATATATAGATATATATATAATTTAGATATATAATATAATATATATATATATAATATATATATATAATAGTATATATATATATATATATATATATATATATATATATATATAATATATATATGTATATATAAATATGATTATATATGTATATATGCACAAATACGTACATTATACATAAATATATATAAATACATATATAGATATATTTATATAAATATATGCATGCATACATGTGTGTATATATATACATATGTATATATATACATATATATACATATGTAATATACATATATATGTATATGTATATATACATATATATGTATATGTATATCATATATATGTATAATACACCCCCGAGAGCGAAAGTCGACCCCCCTCCCAAGGCTACTCCCCTCTCCCCCCGCAGACACAAGGCCGACGTGGAGCACTACTGGCGGCCGGGCGAACTACACCGTCTGGGAGAACGAGGCAGTGGACATGAAGGCGATGCTGATGAAGTATGGTTTTATCCCGAGAAGGACATCAAGGTAGGTGGGGGGAGGAGGGAGAGGGCGTGGGAGGAGGGGGAGGGTGGGTCGGTTTGGGAGAGGGAGTGGGAGGAAGGTGGGTTTAGGAGAGGGAGAGAGGAAGGAAGGGTGAGGAGGGAGGCTGAGGTAGGGAGCGAGTGGGAGGGTGGAGGGAGGAGTGGGAGGGTGGGGTAAGGAGGGAGTGGGAGGGTGAGATAGGGAGGGAGGTTGGGAAGGGAGGAAGGAAGGGATGGAGGGAGAAGAAGGAAGGGTGAGACGGAGTGGGAGAGAGGAAGATAGGGAATGGGTGAAGGCGGGAGTGAGAGGAAGAGAGGGGTGGTAGCAAGGAGGTCAAGGGAGTTGGAGGAGGGAGGGAAGAAGTGAAGGAGGGGAAAGGAGAGGGACTGGGAGGGAAGGAAGGAGAGGGAATAGAAGAAAGAAGGAGCGGGACGGAGGGATGGGGGAGGGGTGAGATGGTGGGAGAGGGAGGAAGGCAGGGTTAGAGGGAGAAGAAGGGGGGGGGTGAAAGAGGGAGGAAGGATGGGAAGAAGGAAGATAGGGAAAGTGAGAAAGGAATGAAGAATGGGAAGGAGGGAGAAGGGTTTGGGGGAAGAGAGAGGGTAGGAGTTTCGGAGGTAGGGAAGGAGAAAGAGGGAGTGGGAGGGAGGAAGGACGAGGGAGAGAGGAAGGTAGCACGGAAGAGAGAGAAGGGGAGAGGTAAAGAAAGGGGCAGAAAGGAACAAGAAGTAAACGGAGGGAGGGAAAGAAAGGGAGAAAGGGAGGGAAGGAGGGAGCGAGAGGTAGAAGGGTAAGGAAGAGGGAGGAAGAAGGAGTCGTAGGAAGGTAAAGAGTGAAAGAGAGGGAGGGAAGGAAGAGGGTGTGAAAAGGGAAAGAGAAGATGATAAGAGACGAGCGGAAGGGAGAGAGGAAGTGGGACGTGGGATAGAAGAAAAAACAAAGAGAAGATCGCATGAGACTATTCTATCCCCACGCCTTCTAAAACAGAGAGGGCGTGGCGTAGGGAACACAGCGCTAAGCGGATATAAAACCCTCTCAATTTATCGCTGCCAGTCGCACACACACCCATCTCCCCACAGGGTTTCCGAGCTCCGTTCCTCGAGGTGGGAGGGAACGACATGTATCAGGCTCTCTACGACAACGGCTTCAGCTACGACTGCTCCTGGCCGGCTCTGCAGTACACCAACTGGTACGTGCGTCGTGCTCTGGGTCTGCAGTTGGGGGACCTTCTTCTCCTTTTTCTTCCCCCTCCTCTCCTTCTCCTCTCTCTCTCAATTATTTTCCTCACGTGCCTCCTATTTTCACTTAATTATCTTCGGTTGTGACATCTCCCTCTTCTTATCTCTTGTTCTCTCACGCATGCAGCGTATGGGTATATAGGAATATGTAGGCCTATATATGCATGTACTCATTGGGGTAGGTAGTGGATGGGTGGGGTGGTGGTGGTGGGGGGGGCGATTTGCACCTCTCACAGGGCCCCTGAATGGTAGCTGATATAGATAAAAACTGAAATTTACTCAAATAAATCAGTAATTGCGCCAATAAGATGACCACCCTTCCGCCCCTAGTACTGACTGTAAATATTGTATATGTCAGAAGGCGGCTCCTAAAGTCTTTTCAGTTCAGAAACGCGCCCACAGTACACAGGCTTCGTGGCGCTCTCTCTTTTCTCGTTTGAATTCTGAACTCTGAGCACAGAAGGAAAGTCTGCGGGCCAGACCTGAGAGAAGTTCGGCCTGGGAGGAGAGTCGACAGCACATCCGGGACTTTTGAGGAAGCGTCCGAGACTTTCGATCCCCTTTTCGGATCTGGCCTCTGCGAACATTTATTTCTCTTAAAATTTCTCTACGAGGCTTGTGCACTTTCCCGCAAACCCTGTTCTAGGACGCTTGTCAAGTCTGTTATAATTGTTGTATACATCACAATCTTAGAGTTGACAAGTCGGATCAAATATTGGGCAAAGCAGTATAGTTTTTTTCACATTGTATATACACGCGAACGTCCATTTGCATTTTATGCGTGTGTGCACTTATCAACATCTAGAGTTACAGTAAATAGGCAATAAATACAAAATATTTATGTATTATTAAGAGACATTTGTGCCGTTAATATCACGATGTTTTTTCAATGCCGTATTTTTTATTATTACCTTATAATAAGCAGGTTATTGTTGTTACAGGTACGGCGAGGAACCGCTAGGTGCGCTGTTCCCATACACGTTGGATTACCTGTCGCCTCAGGTAAGATCTGAAGAGGCTGATTCTCTCCCTTTCTCTCTCTCTCGCTCTGTCTGTTTTCTGTACGTGTACGTGCATAAATTCGTTCGTGTATGTGTGTGTATCTACAAAACATATGACATATATACCGTGTATGAACCGATCACTCCTTTCCCTCACAACTCCATACCCATACCTCCCTCCTTCCGTTTTTTTCCCCCCGCCCCAGGACTGCACCGTTGGAAGGTGCCCCGACGCCCTGTTCCCCGGGATGTGGGTGGCGCCCATGCTCGATCTGAAGGACAACCGTGGCGAGGCGTGTGCCATGCTGGACGCCTGTCAAGGGTATGTCGCAAACGCGTCTCTGTTTTTTTTGGGGGGGAGGAGGAGTTGGGGGCACTTTTTGCCGTTTTCAATGTATCTGTTTACGTCGGGGGTCCTTTTTTGGGCACT